TCTTTTTGTCCATGTCAGATACCAGACTGGAGTAGACTGAAGTACAAAGCTCTTTGAAACAGCTCCCTTGCTGAAGTAAAACTAGCGATACTTGAGACTTTGCCAAAAGAGCACACTAATAATAATAGAGGTTTTGTAAGTATCAGAGTATCTTTAGTCAAGTAATTATAAAGAATGGCCATCATAGAATCATAGAACAAGAGAGGGAACAAGTTGAAAAGCAGAACTGTGTAAATATCTTTATTGTTTGGACCTTGAGCTCCATCTGGGTGTTCACTGAAATTGGCCCTGAACCATTGTAAAATGAAGTCAAAGGAAAGACCCCCAAGGACTTCAGCAGGCACTGAATTAGGCCCAGAATGAGCTGGACACCAAGTTTAAAGTATTATTGTGAGTGCTTATAGAGATTTAACTAGTCTGCAAATCCAAAGGAGTTGTTTATTATAGAAAAGAGGGGAAGTTAACATTGAAAACCAAATTCTCTTCACAACTACCATAAAATAACTAGCAATGCACAAGTATAAATAAGTAAAATTTGGCCCTTATGTTTAAAGTAACTACATTCTGTAGTCCACATGTAAGTACTTTTGCTCAACCAAGAACTGCTGAGTTTAGCCCCATGGTTTTTTCTCCTTCAAAACATAAATCAACTTTACTTTCTCTGCCTATACCATCTCTTGCCCTGCTTTTGATGACCTGAGTGCCTCTTGCTCATGTTTCAGATATACAGCTTTTCACCTCCTACTCATCCTTCTTTTGAGAAGGCCTCGGGCTGATAAGAAATTGTAGTGTATTGCTTATGCACTGCCAGCACTCTGCAGTTGCTCCCTTAAGTGCCTGCTGTGCCCAACACCTAGTAACTTCCTACTCTGCTTCCTTTCCTCCTGCCACTGCTTGCATAATTGTGCAAAGCAGTTGTTAATTGGACTTTGTGTATATAGCGCCGGTGGCAACACAAGCTCTGAACTCATGTAAATTGTGGTAATTTTTGGGTGCGTCACAAAACATCATATCCTCAGCGCCCCTCAAAGTCCTGCAAAATCCCACACACTGCAGCAAAAGAAACAAGCATTTTTAAGACACTCAGCAAGCAATAGTTTTCAGGCAATTATCAGGCTTTTGGATTATCCAGATAATTGAAGGCATGTTAAAAGTCTCTGGATAATTGAAATTTGCATCCAGATCACGCAACCAGTAGCAGAGCCTTGAAAGCAACAAGCATTACAATCCCAGTTGTGCCTGTCAAGCACAGCCCTGAACAAGGGGTAAAGCTGGACCTGTGTCACTACAGGAGCTGCTCCAGGGTAGCTAAGCAACTGTGCCTATTTTAGGTGGGTGCAGCTCTGTTGGCTGGTGTGTGTGGAGGGAGTGTGGGGCAAAGTGAGTTGTGGCCCAGTCTCTCCTCACTGCAGGGGAGTGGTTAAGAAACATGTGGGTGCTAGTTCAGAGATCATCTTGTGCTCATGGACACATACAGGGTCTGATTGTGCCAAGCCAGGTGGGAGAGGGAAAAGACTTTTCACGCTGCACCTACCCTTCCTGCATGAGTACAGAGGATGGCCACGTTCTAACTCTGTAAGTGATATGTGGTGTCTAGCAATTGGTTTCAAAGGGCCATGTTGTGCTTTCCTCTAGGAGAGTTGGGAAACTCCAGTTTTCTTCAAAATCATCCTGTAGTGGGGTATGAAAGCTTCTGCCTTATCCACAGAGATGGGTCCTCCTAACCTGCTGAAATCTCATGGGCTCCAGAGGAATCAACCATTCTCAGAGGACCTCCATGGAAACTGTATGGAGACCCAGAACCTCTTCTGGCCCTCTATATTTCCTTTGGCAGTGCTCTTATCCTAGGTGCCAGAATCATAGTAGTTCTCTACCCATATCAGAACCAAGAGCCAAAATGCAGGGAGTCCATAGGAGACAAGGATTCACATGGCAGCCTCATCTTTCATAGTAAACCTGCAGCGAGATTTTCTCCAGAGAGAGACACTCCACTGGCCTTTCCTTCTTTGATCCAGATCCCATAGCCTCAGATGTGACGAGGTCACCCAGAGCAGCATCTGCAGATTCACAGAGATTCTTTTATTGGCTCAGTGACATCTTTCTAACAAAATTTGGGTGTTGGATTCATAACTTGTCATCACTTATTTGAGGAAAAAAAATTCAGGTGATAATCTGGTTCTATTTGTATCGAAATTCTGTGACTGGTACTTGTGACAGAATCCTAAAAAATGAGTCCACCCATGCTAAGAAAAGTGCCCTAGTGCTTCTTGGTTTCCCTCTTATATTGTTTAACCTTTCCTGTATCACTCTAATCATGCCTTCCTGTTCTGTCACACTGGATGTTATTTGTGCATAATGAGTACTCTGGGGACCTAGTCCCTAATGACTTTCAAGCACTGTGTAACCTGGATTCTGCTATCCATGTACTGCATTTAGTCCTTTCAAGGTCATTTCATTTCTAATGAATATTGCTTTCTCACTTGTTCAGCCACCCTCTGTCCTCTACTGCAGCAGCAGACAGATGGTTGCAAAAAATTCCCTCTGTAATGAAACTTGTTAGAGGAGACTGCTTAAGGGCTCAGAGAATATCATTTGCCAAGCAGAGATGGTCTCTTACTAAGAGTTAAAGAACTCTGTTGGAAAATGGAGGTATTATTAAAATGCAGTGGTTTTCAAATTATGTTCAACAGACCACCAATAATAGACACCAGTGCTCATGTCAGAGGGATGAAATACCTGGCAGGTCTCAATCAGTGGCACTTCCTATAAGTTGTAGACTCATACAGCACTCCTACATTAACTGCCCAACTACTCTGAGGCCTATTTTTTGTATTTAAGCATAAATTTTATACCTATAAAAACCACACCTTTTCCCCGAACACACATATATTGTACAGGTATAAATCCTACTGGTGTAATTTCTATCAGATATGCACCTAAATTACAGAGTAATTAGCTACACACATTACAAATTTCAAGATTTGTTTTCTGCAAATATGCTCATTTCCCTTGACTTTCATGGTTATTCCTACCAACGTTCTGGTATATTCTTTTACAGTTCTTAGCGCTTCTTATTTTTACCACAGCCTGAGTTTTTAAGCCAGGCTTGTTGTACTGGCTGTCACACTCTTCTGAATGGCTCAATATCTCCATTTTATCATCTTCCATAGAGCAACTAGTCTTGTACCAAAGAATTGTCTTCAAATCCATTTGCTCTTATTTGCTTAATTTCATGCAATCTCCTTCTTACACTTTCCTTTTCTTGGTCACTGCCGTCCTCAGCACCTCCCAGCACCAGTTTTTCCAGGCTTTATACCCCCAAGATCCTTGCAGCCAGGGAAGTTTTGATGTGACTTTCTTTAGTGTCCATTAACACAATTCTAAATTATGCAATGTGTTCTGTACACTCTCAGTTCTAGCCATTAAATGAAACTCCATCTGCTCTCTGTTCCCAAGGGTGGTGTAGTTACTTTCCCTGCATCACTACTAGACAAAACTTTACAGTCCCACCCATAACTGCTAATCTGGTGTGTTTTGGGACCACACATTTCCATAGTCACTCATTCCTCTCTCCACATTGACTGTTTTTAGAAGCATTCTAGACAAGATCTCCTGGGTCCCATCCTATATTCTTGTTAATCTTCCTCTCAGCTCAGTAGCTGGTTTGTAAGCCAGGTCTCTTATCACTGATCCCTAAATAAGAGACAGATCATTAGCCATGTTAGTATGAAGTCGGTCAGAAGGCAGGGTAGATACACATCTTTACTGACTAACTAAGTAAGATGTATAGAGCATAAGCTTCAGTGAACCCAAGTTCACTTCATCAGTTGCTGTGAAAGAGCAGCATAGAGCAGAGTATAAAGTGGAGTGAGCGATTAGAATACAATAGGTAGGAAAGCAGGAAGGAGAGAGAAGGGAGAAATGAGGAGGGGGAATGCTGTGGGTGACATACAAGCCAAGAACTGATAGGAACAAAGGGGACATCCAGGTAATGAGGTAAGAAACCATAGTCCCTGTTTAAACCATATTTAACACAGTCCAGTTTGTGGATGATTTCTTGTTTTGAAATTTCCCATTCAAACTGTTTTTAATTTTTTTTTTCTGCCTGAGAACAGCAATCCTGAGGTCAGCAATTGAGTGCCCAGGGTGGTTGATGTGTTCTGTTACAGGCTTTTGTGCTCTTCTGTGACTGTCATATCCATGTTCATTCATTCTTATACATGCATTAGTAGGAGTGTTGCTAGCAGATCGAGGGAAATAATTATTCCCCTCTATTCTGCACTGGTAAGGCCACATCTGGAGTACTGTGTCTGGTTTTGCCCCCACCCCGTATAGAAAGGACGAGTTGGAGAAGCTCACAGAAAGTGTAGTAATGACTTTTCCTCAATTTGGGGGACTATAAAAATGGAAGCTAACCTAAGGTTTTTTAAAAAGAAAGAGAAGAACTTTCAAACTCATTTTATCCTGCTGGCAATCTTTCAGTCATAAAACAATTGCTAGGATACCAAATGTGTACGAGTGACTTTTCTTTTTAAAATATGGATTATTCACATCCACTGAAATCCCCAACAACTACACAGGTCTAATTTTCCTCTTCCCCTGTCACAAAGCCACCTGAGAAAACTAAAAACAGTCCAACGGTAAAACCTGAATGTTTTCCTTAAGATGAAATCTTCATAGGAGTTTGAGGTCCCATTTCTATTTGATTAAAAACTGGGATCTTCTATCCTTCTCTCACAGTAGGTAACTTCTTCAGTATTGTCTAATAATGAACCAGTAGAGTCAAAGTTGGCACCTATGACATACAGGAAATGTCTGTGCTAGAGAAGCAGTGCTTCAGAAGACTAATATTCTGCAAACAAATCAGTTATTTATAATTGTCTTGTCTTTAGCTGTAAATTTAAGTAATGATCTTTTTATAGAGTTGAAAAGGAACAGACAGGTTTAATTGAAAGGAATGAAATCTACATAAGCACCTGTTTTGTTTTTAAACTTTATAGGAAGTCAATGTATTGACAGTAGCATTGGTCAACCAAGACAGAGAAAAAAATTCTGAGAAGCGAAGCCAAGGTCTAAAATCAGAGAAGGAAGCACTGCTAATAGGTAAGACAACTCAGCACTAGTTCAGCACTGCCTGTGACAACTCAGCTTACGAGAGTAAGCAACCTAAAACTAAGTTTTATCATCCGTGTATATTTGCTTCTATCTTCACTGTACCAGAAATACTTATTTTTTCACTTGGATGCATAGTGGTTGTAGTAGGAACATTCCTGTAATCCTCACTTGCATAATTAAACCTTCTCCGGCTAGATATTCCTACTGAATTTAACATAAGGACTGCTCATATGAGAGAGAGTTGCAGGATCTGCTCTTTTGCTTGTCTCGTTGTTACAGATAGATGAAGAATGTAATTGTACTAAGCAAGGGCTTAGAGAATAGAACAGCGTATGTTATCGCCTGCCTGTGACAAAGAAAATGGCTGAAAGAGAATGGAAACAATATTATTAAACTGTTGACGAAAAAACTGTGTATAATGGATACCTTAAGAAGGATGCATTTACTCTTTCACAATAGGTGCCAGATAGCTGGCATGAGGATATGAAAAGAATGTACTTCAAGGAAACTGTTTAAGGGTACCATCTGCTGTTGGGAAGTTAAGGTTCCCTGACATTATTCAACTAAAAATCTCTAGTTGTACACATTCTTCACCTATGACATACTGGATGAAAACCTGGGTCTTCTGAAGTCATTGCATGGTTCACCATTAAGTTCAGGGGGTTTGGCTAGTCACCTACTGAGAATGCACTCCCTAAAGTACGTGATGAGGTAGAGGTGCCATTGGTATTGCCATTCAATATTTCACAAGCATTAAACTTCTCAAGAAAAAAAACAAAAGCAGAGTTCCTAATATGTTAGCATCTCTGTAACCCGACTCAGTAATTACAAGCATATGTTCAAGGAAGCTTTTATTTTTTTCACATTACTTAAAGATGGCCTTAAAGAGGCATAGAAAAGGTATCCGAATTTTTGAACACCCCGTCATGGAGGTGTTTGGATTTGACATTTTGGCTTATTCAATAATAAAATTGTGTCACTAGAAAAATGGGATTATCTTCCTTCCAAGATTTGGTGGGTTTTAGTTCAGAATCAGCTCTAGGAAGATTGAAAAAGACCTTGATCCAGCAAAGACTTAGAGATGTACTTCATGTTCAGCACAGTGCACTGGAAATCTCTCTGAGTCCCATCATATAAAGTAACTCTTTTTCAGGATCTAGACCAGCGCTGTCCAGCTGGCAGCCCACAAAGAATTAGCACGCATTCCATAGGCTCCCGTCCAGGTGCCACTACCCCTCTCATGCCATTGCTTCTGCCACAGCAGTCGGGTTCGTCAGGCTACCCTGCCCTCCTCCAGCTTCTGTTTCCTGTCTCTGTTCCTAAGGGTGCAGCAGTACAATGGGAAGGAACCGAGATGTTTAAGCTGTGTGCACGGTAGGGGGCAGGGGGCCTGTGGTGCATGTGCAGTGGGAAAGGGGGCTGGACTGCTCACACTGTGTGGGGAGAAGGCAGGAGCTAACCTGTTCACACTGCAGGTGGATGCATGGCTGGGAGGGGAGAAGGGGTGCATGGCTGCGAGTATGGTGGGGGGGTTTGTGGTATGTGGCTAGGAGGAGGTGGAGGAGGTAGGCTGTCCATGTGCCCAGGAAGGGGTGGGGAGTTGGGCTGTGCATGCAACTGGGGGAAGGGGGGCAGGGAGCCAGGGTGCCCAATGCTGTGCATGCAGTGGGGAGTATGCTAAGCTGCCTGCATAGTGAGCGGCTCTCAATCTGCGGCCCAATCTTCATGCAGCCCCTGGGACTGTGGCCCACACAGCTTGGACTCCTGGTTGCCCAGAAGTTGAACAGCTGTGATCTAGACCATGAGCATAATAATGCAAGCATAATTGGAAGTATGCAGGTGGAACAGATGCTCTTTGCAATGCTAATACAGAATGAAAAGATTTCCTGTCCTCTTGTACTGTTGCCAATATTTGGAGAGAGGTTTTAGTCAAGATGTATCCTGGTTCCTTCAGTCTCAACACTAGTAATGGGACCTACACTATACAAGATATAATAACCTGTTATTCTAATGTATATACACCATAAATCTTGGTGTTTAAATATAAGGAAGTTCCCCCTAGGTTTCTTAGTTAAGAAACCCGTCTAAAGTGGGTTAAAAATATTGTTCCTGGATCCTATACTTCAACTTTCAGCAAATAGTTATATATACACTGATGACCACTTCATATTCCATTTGTTTATGGGGAGGAAACAGCTAATGCTTTTAATAGCAATGCTGACATCCAACATCCTGCTTTCTCTATTCATCACTATTATGCTGACACTTGATTTTCACTATAGGAAAAACTCTAGATTTAGAATCTGACTCCTTCCAAACCCTTTTTTTCCCAGACCTCTTCAAATGATCTTGTAAATTACAATGAAGTTATTACAAAATTACAAATGGAATTACCTGTCCATTTTAAGGAAAAAAGTATAAGTACGCTCTGGCATGTGGCATGTTACCCCGGGTAGGGTAGGGTAGGGGAGGCTGGGCCCAGCAACTGTGCTGACCCCAGCAGCCTTATCTGGGGTCCTTTGGGAGCTGCAGCCACAGCGATCCTGCAGCAAGGAGCCTGGCCAGCAGCTGGAACATGGCATCAGCCAGCCAGGCTCTGGTTTTGGGTGGTGTGCACTGCAGCCATGTGCACCACCCCGGTTTTTTTAGGCATGGGTTTTTTTTACCCTGGTATCTCCCATGAGCCATCCTCCCCTCCCCCCATGCTGCCAAGTAACAGTGCAGGGAATGCCTGCATGTGCAGTGTGTGCAGTGTGTGGCACCCCAGACAGGTCAGCAGTGCTGCATACTGCACGTCTGCACGCGCCCACAGTAATTATTTGGGAAATTCATGGGAGTCCATTTTGTGACACAGTTACATGAAACATTTTCACAACAGAACGTCCACTGAAGGAGAAAAAGCCATAATTTTACCATTCCAATATCTACAATTTTACATTGGTAAATCAAGCATAAAATTGGTAGTTGAAATGTTTCCAGCAAGTCTTTGTTTAGAAATTCCTTTATTCATCAGTTAATAATCTTGGTCACTTACTTGCAAACTGCTGTCATTCCTGAAGATGAAGGATTGTGTTTACCCTATTATTATGACTGTATTAAAAAATGTGCTATTTGCATTAGTTTATTGGGTTGTGTATGAAAAATGAGAATCATAAATCAGGTGGAAAAACATGCAGAGAAACTTATTCAGAATTATTTTAAGATGTCTGATATATTGTCTCAGGTAATTTCAAGACTATGCATTTGCTTTAATGCAGGTATCATATCCACGTTTCTTCACGTCCATCCTTTTGGAGCCAATATAGAATATCTTTGGTCTTATATGCAGCAGCTGGACTCTAGGGTAAAAAAAGTTTAATCAAAATCTGTTTTCTCTATAGAAATATTGTATTATTCCTTACTTCAGGTTAAACTCTTCATGAGTTTTCATTAGAGAGATAATAGGATGTGGGGCTTGGAGGTTTGCAGCCTTTATTCATTCAGAAATTATATAATGTGTGTTTATATTGAGGTCTTTTGCCTTGTATTATTTTGCTGTATTTTATGGCAAGGAATGCTGTTGTCTTAAATGGCACAGACTGATTGCATGAAGCACAATCCTGAATTACTAGGATTCAGGAAATAGAATTAAAGGTAAGTTTCACTGTGGTCACTAAGATGTGGTAGGAGGAGCAGACGGACCATGTGTTGCACCTGTGTCTTTTGGAGCTCCTTGTATCAAGCACTGTATTCCTTCACCTTACTTTCCTGCTGTCCCTCAGGATAGCTGAGAATTGATGCTTCCATCAGTGGTCCCTCTGCTTGCTTTGGAGTGTGACATCTATGCAGAAAAGGCAGAATGGAGCATAAAGCATTAGCAGAGCTGGAGGCCTGCTATGCTATGGGGAGTTACAGAGTTGACCACAGCAGTCCATAACCTGCAGGAACATACTGTAATGCATTCCATGAAGAACTGTGTGTCTTCCCTCAATCTTTATGAAGAAAGTTCTCTGTTTGCTTGGTGCGAAAAGGTGGGGATACTCGTGTCAATGCAAGGAAAACCATTAATTGAAAAAAAGCCAACTGAAAACGCATATTCCCATTACCACTACATCTTGTCGGTACAATCTGATAATCAGCATTATGTTTCCTCCGTATCATCTCCCATTGCTTTACAAAAATAAGGAATTAAATACCAGCAATGGCATAATTTGGAAGCAGCCATTATATACTTTAACAGTGATTTACATACATGGTTGTTAAAATATAAATTATTAGTTGGATACTGTGGATCAGATCCCATGCTTACTTCAGCTGACTAACGTTCAGACAGTAGCCAGGAGAATGTGCCTTTCCTGCTACCTTGAGTATCTGACACTTCCCTAGAATCCTTTTTCTGTCTTCGTTCAGGATACTGCCCAGGTCATTAAACCTGTGTCAACTCCTGAGCTAGAAGCCCATTGATAACAGAAAGGACCCCAAGCCTTTGGCATTTTACTTCCTGCCGTAGTTTGTTAGTACCTCACAAGCCATCATTTTCCTTTCTTCATAACAAGATGTTTTGATGTGGAGTCAGGCAGCAACGGTTGTGGGACTCTGGAGAAGATTATGTGATAGTTTTTGTTATGTTATTGCTTGTTTATCTGATGTCAAGTTAACTGGCCATCCTGGGTCTTTTTGAAAAGTTGTCAGGGGTGCCCAAATTGTCAGACCAGTGTTTACATTGCAGAACCATACAATCCAAATAAATACATGTCTGCAATTCAAATTCTTTGCCCTCCCTTGCCCCTGCAGAGATCTCAGCCCTTATTCCCTGCCCACGCCTTAGCTTGATGCTGTGTTGTGTTGGCCCATGTGTTCTCCTACTCATGCCTGTACACTTTATTTTCATGCTCTCCATGGAACTACGCGGTGCCCTCACTCATCTTTAGGGGTCTGCCTAAATCACAGAGGAACTTACTAATTTTTGCAGGTTGATCACAGCCTAAAGCTCTAATTCTGCAGTCATCCTATGGCGGCCCTGCCCCTTGGCACCGATTGGCAGAGAGGTCCCGCTTCTCAGTGCTGATTGGCAGAGCGGCCTGGATGGAGAGAGGGAGGAAATGAGGGGATGACTGTCATCTTGACTACTGGCTGCCCTTTTTGCAGCCCTGGCCCTTGGTGTTGATTGGTTGAGAGGCCCTGGCGGGTTGGGGGTGGAGACACTGGGATAGCTGCCATCTTGCCTACTGCCCTTTGTCCTGCCCTGCCACCTTCCCCTTCTGGCAGTGGGGACCTCCTGGGAGGGTTTTTTTAAATTATTTTTATTAAGTTTTTATTGTTGATTTCATGGACAATCCTGGATTTCATGGTTTCCACGAAATCTGTGAAAACATGAATTAAGTAGGTTCCTGGTCATCTTTCAAACCCCTTCTTAAACCCACTGTTTTTGGCTAGGTTTCAGCTGACTGTCTCTCCAGCTTCCCTTCCTTTTCTGCTTTCTTTAATTTACACTGGCAAACATTTAAAATACAGACTGGCTGTGCAACATAATGCAACTCAGATTATAGTTGTCCATATCTTTCCTATCCCACTTTTAGTTGCAGTATCTTCCTTTGTTTAATGTAGGGCCCCAAGACTGCAACCTTTTGTCACACAAGTCCTATTGGCGTCAGTGGGATAACTCCCATGGGTCAGGGCTGCAGAATCAGACCCTAAATTTGGAAACTGCTCATGACAGGGACCCTGCCCCTTTTTGTTTCTGTGTAGTGTGCTAGATGCATTTGCAGTGCTTCGTAACTGCCGTAGAGTACGAACAGCAGAATTTGACCTAAACAGTTTACCTGTTGAAGTAACTGATTTTAGTAACTGCGTACTTATTGATAGTGCAATCCTGAGAGGTAATCTCAGAGGTTAATTTCAGTTACTTTCAGTGGTAACCTTGCTATCCCTTGTCTAAATAGGAATGATAGTTTCAGGGAAACCCGTGCTTCTTGAACTGTCACCATGGAACGCACACACGTGACACCACAGTAACCTGCTATTCATGCCTTTCACAAGAAAGCGTGTAAGATGTGGAACTGATTGTGTTGTGGCTCTGGATTGACTCGTTCTGATACTGATCCTCTGTGTCACCTTTAGCAAACCGCTTCATCTTCCTGCCGCAGAACTCCACAGTAACTCCTTTGGGGGCAGGGAAGAAAAAAGGATGATGGATGGATATTTCCCTTTCTCGCAAGGGTGGTGTGAGGCTTAAATTAGCATGCTTCATATTTGTGAGATGCTTTGAAAATGAAAAAATACTACCACAGGAGCATGCTAATAATATTAATAGATTTGCCATAACTTTCCTATCCACAAAGTCCCCAGATACTGCTGTGTATTACAAGTCTGTTATACAGGCGGCAACAGCACAGATGTCTGCAGTATTCCATGTATTTAGTGAGCGCTCAAAGGACCCAGTCAGCAATAGAGCCCCATTGTGCTAAGTACATGCAAATGCATAGCAAGGCAGACTTACTGCCCAGTGGAAGGAAGAACTACAATACACCAGTGGAGTGATTGAAGCAAAAGCAAACAGAAGTTTTTATAACTCAGTTATTTTCTGTGTATTCCTTTGGTGATATGGTGGGGTAGAGTGGATGGATGTTCTTACTTTATATTTGGCTTTGCCTTTAATATATTTTGTCCATTTTCCCTTTTAAAAAGATATCTCATGCATTATTTTTTGTCTCCTACATTTATTTCCTTTTTTTGTCTTTCATCACATCCACGTGCCTTAACAATGAACTTGAGCCTGTAGAAGGAAAACGATGGTTCAGTTACTGACCTCTTTACTGATCATTCTAGTAAAGATGCATTTGTAACACTGAGTTTTGGCGAGGAGGACTTCTTTCCAATGGGAACTTGACTGAAGCAACCACTTCATAGGGATCACCAAGACACAAATATTCTGATCGACTCTGAGGCAGGAATAATGCCTTCTGGAGCCCTGGAGCTGCTGTCAGATACAGAAAGAGGGTTAGGGGCCTCTTATTTGCAAAAGATTAGCTCCTTTTGGCAATGTTGA